GTAATTTATCCCTTTATATGTTTCTTTTCATATTTTCTACTTTTTAGAATGAGTGATGGGCACATACAATATTTTACAAAGGATTATGAAAACAGGCTTACAATTAGATGTAATGTATTAATGTAGCTAATTAGCTTCTGTACAAGGAATAGCTGTTTCTATACTATCTCTATATGATTTCAAGAAAATCTAGTCACCTGGTTTTATGCTTACGGTAGACATGTCACTTAATAGGTAACACTCAGAAAAAATTCAGATCACGTGTTTTGCTGTTAAATTACTTCTGCTTGCTGTGTGTTGTGAGAATAACGAATCATTTCCAAATGTCCTGACTCAAAGCTTTTAAACTTTTGGTCGTGCTTGCTTAAGTGTTTTGCAGAGATATATAATAGATGACAAAAGCATATATAAATCATTTGCATGCCACTCACAGGATATAGTTAAGAAAACAACTATGCCACTATATGATGCCTTTTAAGCCAGACCACATTTAAAAAAAAAATTAAAGGGACACTGCAATCTTAGCACAGTTGCCTTGCAGCCTAGTAACACCTCTAGATGCAGTCACTCAGATGGCCACTAGAGGTGTTTCCTATTTCAGTGCTGCATCTTGTGCAGCACTTGCATTCAGCTTTTCCACACTCTGCATAGAGATGCTGTATGCTCCCCGCAGAGATATCTTGATCCAGTGCATCTCTATGAGGTGATACTGATTTGTGCATCACAGCGTTTTGCCGTGCATGCGCAATTGCTTCCCAATTCTTTCCTTTGAGAAAGCATTGGATTGGCCGAGATCATCAAGATAGATGATCTTAGCCATGGATGTTGAGGCCAGCCATGGCGAGAACAGTGCAGCGATGGAGAAAAGTAAGTAAGCTACCTTTTAACTCCTTACTGAGGAGGGGGGGAGGGAGGAGAGGGGCGGCCAGCTAAGTAGATAGTCCTGCATTATAGTGTTAGGAATACACATTTTTATTCCTAACACTATAGTGTTCCTTTAAGTATAGTTCTTTATTTACCTAGGGTTAAATTCTATTCAGTGAGGTAGAAGTTAATAGTGAAAATGCTATTCAAATACAATAAACAAGCTTTAATCATATAAAAGAAAGTTGCCCTTAAACACGCCATTGTCAAATATATATAGATATCACTCAAAGATCCCATATAATGTGAGTTTATATAAATACATTTTTAATAAATGTAATTGAACACATGTGAGTTGTTGAAAGACCTATGAGTGCATACTCTGCTTTATATATATATATATACATTTTTTAATATATGTTTGAAGGCCGGAGGCCTGTATTTGTGGGAGGAGTTTGACCCTATAAAAACCCCACTCTCCCTCTTACCTGGGCCGTTTCTGTTCAGGTCATCCCACCTCACCCTTTATAAATTTTATAATACAATAATCTCCCTGCTTGGCCCTCTTTATTACAGGCCTACCCGTACGTTGGTTTTTGCACACCTCAACCAACTTTGCCCAAATACGAATTATGCATATTACGATTATATTTCCGATCACAAATGTATATATATGAAATGTGAAATATGAATATGAAATAATTGCTTGCAATAGCTGCAGATCTAGTATCTACAGTCATTGCAAGTCCTTACATTCTTTCCTAGTACAGACTAAATTTTTATCACACCAGTAAACTATAGTTAGAAAAACTCCAGCCTTGAGGTTAGTTAACAATGAAGTTTTCAATTTTGTACTTAGAAGAATCAAGAAGAATCATTCTATTATTCATCATCTGAGCCTAGCTAAAGATGTTGCTCTATCTCACAGAGTGTTTTCTTTGGCCTGCATACTAGAGAATAACTACAACCATCCACAAAACTTTGTAACAAGTCAGTGAAAACAAAACTATAGCAATGAGTTTTAAAGTTTTAATCTTCGTTGTTCTTTAGTTATTGAGATTTAAAGGATTACGCCAAGGTACTTTTTGTTAACGCATATTAATTCTGCACTACATTGGTTATCAGCTGCTGCCTCCATCCCCTTATTTACATAATAAAGCCTAGAAAAAAAGGGAGACATATACCAGAGCTAATATACCAGAGAAATATACCAGAGAAATATATCAAGTTCTTCCTGAATTGCTCCCAGCCCACTTTTTTATCACACCACATCATCTATTTTCAGTCTGAGGCCCAAGCAAATGCTTCGTATAGAGAAGCATTTGTGAACCTCAGACGCATACATGCTATGTGACCAGACAGAAATCAGTGATGACGGACTATACAGTGGGAGGTATAAAGGGTAGGTCAGGAGAAACTTCAGGCAGTGCTAAGATAATGAGGTGTGAAGATTCAATGATAGGAAGCAGGGAGGGCTGGACAGAGGAAGTAGTGGAGGGTGAGTAAAACTTGTATAAAGGGAACAAGCAGAGTATTGGACTGTATACAAGCATGCTGCGTTCACACAGTCCTGATGACTTTACATTGCAGGTGTGTTCCCGAGCTGATTACATCTATTGGCAGGGAGCAGACATCATTTTTGCACAGATCAAACATTAGGCAGTATGACATTATTGGAAAGTGTGTAGCTGGGTCCTAACACTGCTTTAGACAAATATTAATACAAGAGACAATGTTAACGCGTCAATTGAAAGAAGTTTTAGAGTCTTGAATGTGCTGTATTCCTGTGATCTGGAATGGACAAAATGATGAATGGATGGATGAAAGTAATGTTTATACAAAAAGCACATATCTACTCCTTTTAGCACAACACAGAAATAGCAGATTTAAGGCTATGGTGATGGTGGTGGTGGTGAAGGAGAGGTCTGGCTGCATGCTTTTCTTTAATTTCTCTATTTTCATTTCTAATATTTGTATACTCGTGTGTTTATGGTGTGTCTTTGTATACATTATGCTTTTCATTTTAATTATTTTGCCATTTAAGTTTATATCATGTTGAAGCTTCTTGACTTTCTTGCCAGACACACTTCAACAATATTTCATCATCATAATTGCCTTTCTTTCTGTCTCTTTATTGTGTTTTACTTCTCTTTTTGACAATGTTTGTGAAGTTAAATGTCTAGTTTTTTCATTGTTTTATAGGCACTCAGTTACTCTCCGTCCCACATCCATACATAGGAATTAGAATCTTTCTAAAAATACTTTTCGTTGGGATTTTGAATTTTATGATTTGATTAGAGTGGGTTCATGGGAATCTGGTACATATGATATATAAAATGTAAATAAGACTCCGAAACAGCGACAATTAATGATCTCTTTAATTTCATTGTTATTTAACTGCTAAGTTTTCTATTAGACTATGCTGAATAAAGATATTGTTATATACAGTGTTATCTATTTTGTGAATTGTCACTGGTTGATAACATCCTATGGTATAGTGTATGGCTGTCAAGTGCACTTGGTTAAATATATATTAAGCTTTCATGTCTTTATCATACTTCCAGAAAGATCAGGTCATTGTATCACTAATTATAATATTTTTACTGGCTCTTTTTCATCCTGTGTGTTTCTCCTTGTAGGCTTTGTTAGCTACGACAATCCAGTTTCTGCGCAAGCTGCAATTCAGGCGATGAATGGCTTTCAGATCGGCATGAAACGCTTGAAAGTTCAACTGAAACGCTCCAAAAACGACAGTAAACCATACTGATCTTAGCCCTAGAAGTTTCCTGCTCTTAATTTAGCTTTTTTAGGGTAAGTCCCATGAGCCAGCCTGTTCTCCACTGGGGGCTGAGGAGGAAAACATTGCCAACACTCATCAAGAGAGACATTTATTTTTACATTAAACGCTTCCATTCCCTTCAACCCTGGCCCCCTGCTCTTGCCATTACTCTGGCTATATTTTCTTACCCAGAATCCAGCAAGTTGTGAAACAATGTTTTGTTCCACTTTTCATTTACCTAAATCTTTTTTTCTTTTGTATGACATTTTAAGATTATCGATAGGATCAAAACTATGTGCAATTAATCTCTGCAACCACTGGTGCCATCACAATATTAAATATGAGTTAGAATTTAAGGACCTGGTTGTATAATAGTGACACCAGCAGTAAAGAGGATTGTTACACGGTGGCCTAGTATGAAAATATTGCTGATATACATACTATTTTTGTTAAAGGAACACTCACACATAAGCAAAAACAAATGAGTCTTTCCAATGTGTCAAATTGTTTTAGAAGTATTTAGTTTGAGTAAATATTATGGTTTGCCAGAACAAACTGGTTTACATTTATGTTAATATTACAAAATATACCATATTGATTTTAGTATTTATTTATTTAAATTATTATTATTATTATTATTATTATTATTATTTGAATATGTTGGAAAAGTTATGTGTAAAAAGTCTTGGAGATCTGTTTCTAAAGCTACAGGGTTTAAAAAAATAACAAAATGAATGAAAATACTTGATGTTTCTTGAGAGATAAATTTAATAATAAAGGAAGCCACAGGCCTGTAAATTTTATTTGTAAAAAAACAAAAAAAACATTTCTATTTTTATACAAAAATTTTTACTGCCTCAGAAATAATGATCTATTGTTAACTTATTGGGTACCTACAGAGACATTCTCAATGCTAGCTAAATACCTGAAATAGACTCTAGAGTAACAAGCTGTTTTAAAAAAAAAGTCTTTATTTTAAAAACAAATCCCATTATGCACAATTCACTCACTTCCTTTTGTATGTTATGTTATGTTTTTCATGTGGTTATTTTTGTTTGTTAGTTTCCATTGTGTAGTTAAAAGTTTGTCATGTGACTTATATCTGTTGTATGGCATTGGTTCAAAATGGCCCTCGCTCCCTTCTGTTACTTTTCCCTTCCTTCCCAAAGCAATCCATCTGCACTAACTCTTACTAGATGGTTTCTTTTGGGCTGCTCATTGTGCTTTATGTTATATATATTATTTTTAATATATATTATATATTATTTTTAATATATACTAAATACGTATATAAATATATATATATATATATTCATATTTATATACGTCTATAATATATATTAAAAATGAAATGCAAATTATTGAATGGCACATAGACTCAAACATCTTCAAGATTTGCATTACATTCATAAACTTAATCAGTGCTGGGAAGATCAGAAATGCATTTCTCAACAATACGTTACCGATCAGTTCCAGCACCGAAAAAGCTTAAAAGTGAATTTGTTTCTGCTGCATAGATTCTGTGTAACTTTATACTCTTCCTTTTTTTTCCCTAGAACATCTCCATGCCTGTTAGTTCACCGTTTGCCTAGCATGTCCCTGTGGCGTCTATAAAAAAAAAAAGTTTCATCGTCCCGTCATTGTTTCTGATGTCTTTCTGACCTCACATCATATTCGGTCCTCCAACTGATTTAGTTTGACCTCTGAAATTTGCATGTGATCTCATCTAGCTATGAATTCTGGAGAAAAAAAAACATAGTCAATGTGAAATTCATGCAAGACTGAAATTTAATATCGAGCAGATTATAGAGCAAAAAAAAAAAAAAAAGATAAAAAAAAACCTGTGGCAAAAAAAGTTTATTTTTTTCTTTTGAATTTTTGTTTCATAACGTAAACAGACTTGAAAGTATTATACAGGGATTAGCATTCTGTCTGGTCACTGTTACCTAAAGCAATATGTGTCCAGAAACTCAGAATGTTAGTTTCTAAATGAAGCAGACTTCCAAAACAGTTTGAGAAAACTGTCTGATTTTAAGTATCTAGAGCTCTGTAATAGTTTTTACATTTTTCAGGCAGTGTAAAGTTTTTTGATAAGGCCATTTTAGGTGGCTCACTTTCTCATTAAATTATATATATAGAAACCACTTTTTTGTAGATTAGTATAAAAAAATATTTACCCTGTTTTGGGGCAAATGCTACCTAGTTCTGTCACCTTTTGCTGAACTGACTCACAGTTAGACAATCCATGGTTTAATGCACATGAAATTACCTATATTTTATACTGTTTAAATGTACAGAAAAGAAGGTAAATGTATACTGTGTCACGTTGGTGCTTCTGTGAATTTAGTTGTGGCTTCATTAAGTCTTAAAAGTCTTCAATGTTCTATGTTTAAGAAATTTGAAAAAAAAAATTGGTTTACTTGAACTAAAAATAGTTTTCAGAAAAAACAAAAACGTCTGTTTGCTACAATTTCATGTGAAAAACAATTCCATGAAAAACAAAAAAAAAGTTTTGTGTTGGCTTGTAAAGCATTTGATGTTATAATTTTTTATTGTGGGGAAACTTAGATGTGTTTGTGTTCAGCAAAATGTGACCTGTTTTTTTTCTTCTAAAGAAAAAAAATTCAGTGAAAATACAGTGCCAAATTCCAAAGGTACTTCTTGCCTAAAGCTTCAGTGTATTTCGTGTATGAAGTAATTTGATAACATGGGTATTTTATTATGTGTTTTGTATAAATCCCTTCTATTTAAAAAAGAGAGGTTACAAAAGTTTGTTAACTTGCTATCCTGTGGTCTTGTTGCCTGAAATTGTTCTCGTTTGTTTTTTCTCTTTGATGTTTTTGGTAAAACATTGTATACAGTAAGTACCCATGTTCCACTTTTTTAACCACTCTGCACATCAGTGCTGTGAAGGCAAACCTCACAATTGTACTTACTTCATGGTCTGTGGATATCTCACAGTGAGGGAGTGTTGAACAGCTGTTCTTTTAAGCATGTTGTCCTTTTGAATCAGGGTACCTAAAGCACATACATTATACACATGTTAGAGAAAGCACACACACGCAGTATCTTAAGGCTATTTCCTTTATGTTCTGCTAACCTAGAAGTATGGGCTACACAGTGATCATAAATACATAAATATCAACACATGTTCATTTGTCTACATTGTTTCCCAACAGCAGCAAAATATATACAATGTATGCTACAGGATGAACAAGTTGACTTAAACTTCCCATAGATGATCTAGTTCATTTGGTCAATGTGAAATCCTTCCATATTTGGATTTGCACCTTTTGCAGTGAAAATCATGCGTGGCATTTAATCTTAAACTGGAGGAATTCTGAATATCTGTAATATCAATATGTAATTTGTTTAATATATATTTATATACATATTATATCCTATTTGTCCCTAGTTTTATGTTAAGCCTCCTGCGTCCGTCCTTAATTATTTGATGACTATTTTATAAAACATATGAACAAAAGCTATGGAAAATGTTGAAAATATTTTTGTTCTTAAGACTTTACATGAAATTGACTAAACTTTCTATATTTGTAAGATCTTCTAATGGATAAGTTTAATATATGTAATATAGTTATATAGTTAATATAGATTTCTGATGGTATAGGGTTGATTTCTTTATATATGTCACGTCACATTGTGTGTTGCATTGAATAAAACATTTATATAGTATAATTTGCAATCTATTTGACCAGAGTATAGAAAAAAAATCAAGATTTAAAATTTCTGTTTACAAATGAAAAGCAGTTAAAACACAATAATGAAACCCCTCCTCGTTTTAATCACTTAATACTTTCAGTGGGACATATACAATCATTTTGAAAGTTTTTGTCTGCATTTTGATTGGTTGGAGCACAAGTTGTGCACTAAATGGACACTGCTTAAAGGACTAGTGTGTTCAACTTTTTTTCACTGTGGGATTCTAGTTTTTTGGCTTGTACAACTCTGAAGTCATTTTAATTGTTCTGTTTTTATTATCTCAAGTGCTAAATAAGAAAAAAAAACGTAGTTTCATGACATTTTTGAACTACATCATACAAAAGAAATGTATTTGTGTTTATTTTTTGTGCTGTGAGAATTGTTGTTTGTAGATTAAATAATAACTCATTTTGTTTAAATTTACAAATAGTTTTTTTTTTTAGTATTGTCTGAGAAAAGCCAAAGTTCATGCAATTTTAGTGGAAACTGTAAGATCATTTAAGTATTGTTTCTGTTCTATTGATGCTTTTTGGTTCTGTTGTGTGATGGAATTTGAGCCAAAAAAAAAAATACCAGGCTTTCCTATTTCTACAAACTGATTGTACTTATGAATTTTGTACCAGTGCAACATTTTATACTGGAGATTAAAAAAAAACAAACGGAAAAGTTGTGGCTTACTCTTGAAGGCCCCTGTTATGACTGATTTTGAGTTTGATTTCTGACTGGTATAAAGAATATTGGTTTTACTTTGAACAATTAAAAAAAAAAACTTTGGCTTGCTTTTTTATTTTTTTCCTTTGGTTATATCTTACCTTTAGAATTATGTCAAAACAAAAGCGGTAAGTTTCACTTTTTATTATGTATTGTGCAGTTACACAATAAGGTAATTAGATTTAGACGTACACAGTCACTTTAACTGGATAAATGTATTAGTTAAAAACATAAAAAATAGGAGTTTGAGTTTTTTGCTGTTTAGATCAAATTTTTTCCTAATCTTCTGTCTTCATTGTGAACATAACTGTGTAGTTAAAACAGTCAAACTTATTTTTGTAACGTATGTTATTGTGTGATGCAGTTTTTTGCTTCTGTCTCCAATATTAAACCATTTTCCTAATACTTGTCTCTTTGTGTGTTGTGTTTGTTGGTGGCCATCATGTGATAAAACATCTATACACTTCACTGTTTAACGTCTGTTCTTTTTTTATTTTTATTTTTTTATTTACAGATTTTTTTTTAATATTTGTTGTGTATTAAAGTTACAGTCGATTCCACTTAAGTGAATGCTAGAACAGAAAGAAGCATACAGACAGAAATTGTCTCTGCTTTCCCATAATGCTTTTTCGATCAGATTGTCACTGCTCTTAGGTTGGGTATCTTCTGTATAACTTGCACTACAATTATCACATTCACAATAAACTGCATTTTACTTCCGATTAATGAGCATTTAATGCAGATGAATCATTAAGCAATGATCTGTGTTAAAACATTTTTGTTTCTTCTTCTATTTAATGGAATAAATTCTGCCAGTGTAGTATTTAACTTTACAAAGCTCTGCCTTCCAAAGTCCAAACTTAAGTTGGCTTATGTCACATAATATAGACTACCTCTATGCAATCAAGATGACTATGTTTAGCAGAGTGATTCATCTGTGACAGTGTAACTGACAGTACTATATATATCTATATATATATATATATATATATATATATATCAATATATATAATGTCTTCAAAATATAGTAATTTCATCTTATACACATATATATTGAAATTTTATATACATGTATATATTGAAATTACTTAATTTTGAAGATTAATTATAAGGATTCCAGGAAGAGTGGTTTAAATATGTTAATCATAGTTAATTTGGTTAAATATGATATACATTTGTATAACAGAGAAAACTAAGATTGCTCTGTTAGATGTTTTGGAGTACATTTTCCACAAATGAACTACTCGCGCTTCTACAGATGTAGTATACAGATGGCCTTCCGATAAGTCAATTTATATTAAAGAATTCCATGTAATATCTTTTATACAAAATATATCATATATTTTTGCATATGGAATGTACAGAAATAGTTTAGATTATTCATTTTATTTATGAATATTGTTAGATTTAACAAATGGGGGGCAAATAAGATCTTACTACCCAGAATTTGTAATTATAATTATAATCAGGGCTAAAAATCTCCACTCGCCCCTAGCCATAGCTAGTAGAAATTTATCATTGGTGAGTATGCTTTGGCTTAGAGTGGATTTTAAGGCCTGGATAGTAGCATAGGGTTTCAAATTTTAGGCCCTGCCTAATTATTTCTAATTTTAAAAATAACTTTTGGAAATCTAATTCCCTCACAAAATATTAACCGACAGGCAGTTTTGAAGATTGCATTCTTGAAGAAAATGCATTCCTTCTGTTATAAAGTAGTTTAATGTAGTAGTTCAGTGTACAATGATACATGCATGATTGCAGAATCTAAGTGATCCCGCATGTTAAATACAGTAGGTACTAACTGTAATGACTGTGATGGTTCTAATAAGCAAGACTTTTCATTAAACCATTCCTGATAAGTGAATACAGTGTGCATTGTGTAAACTAGGATTATTTGCTTATCAGGAATCGACTGTACTACTAATCTGCTGACCTCCTTTGTTCTTCATCTCTGTTGTAGTTCACTGCTATTCCTGTGTTATGTTTCTTTCTCATGCTTGTAATATATATCTAGAGACACAGCCAAGATTTTTGTTTTCTTGATGCAAAGGTGCAAGAAATGCAAAACTGAAAAGGGAAATATTATATTGTTTTTGCCAAAACTATGCACTGGTTTTAATGATTCAGGAACACGATATTGGATGTGTCATTTAAGAAAATAGTTAATAAAGTAAAAACAAACACACAATTGTCTATGTAAGTTGAATGCCTATACGTTTTTATTACTCTGTTAGGAGTGACTTTTTTACACTTTATCAACTGCAATAGCCATTTCTGGATACAACCAATAAAAAATACAAAATAAAAAAAAATGTAATGAGCTTTTCACAGGTAATAGATCACACTCCACGCAAGCCAAAGTACCAATTTTAAATGTATTTTAAATTGTTTTCAGCTTGAAATACTAAGGTTGTCGAAATGTCTGAATTACATGGATTCTAAGAATTACATAAAACACTTTAGTGTAATACTTATGATTTGGAGGAGTAATATTCTCTAGAACAAGAATATATTTTCATTGTTAAAAATCTAAAGTGACTTATTTTTTATTAAGCCCTTAAGGACCAAAAGGTGAACTATTAATATAAGAGATATTATTATGATGACATAGACTACCAGGGTTCTTTAAGGGTTATCATTTTATTTAGCTGTGTGAACTATATGACTATGTATTCATTGGTCATGCCTAAAAAGTCATACTGTTCTCAGAATAATCTTCAATCCTTGACTTACTTATTTGCTTATGAAGAATGACTAAATTCTATTTTTTTGTGTCTTCAATAGGTTGAGTAATGTCACTCCATCAAAGTACTATTAACTCAGCATAAACAATATGCACAAGTTATCTAACATTTGCTGAATCGGGTCTAAGCATTTTTATTTTCATGTATTTTGCAGAAAGAAATTTAAACCATAAAGTCTCACTTGCCCTTATTTATATTTTAAAAATGTTTACCAGCTTCTAGAGGAACACGTTTCCCTACCAGAAGCCACTAGTCACTAATATAGTGTGTGCAAGTTTTCTGAAAATGTTAGCTAACATCTTGCTTTCAAACAACGCAGGATGTTTCAGTAAGACATATTATTCCTACAGTCAGAGAGGGGGTGAGAGTGACTGTACTCTACAATTTCACTGGTAGCATTACATTAGCAGTGTAGAGATTGATAATTGTTGCTATAGAAGTTGTAACCTTTATTTTAGGAATATACAATTTAACTGCATTTACTCTATGTTCACATTATGCTCAAATGCAGACATTATTGTTACATTCTGTTGCCATTTTTAGTAAGCTGTACTGCTAGTAATGCCTTCACAGTCTTTACATATACCCATAAGAAGGCCATTTGACACTTTTTATTTATCTCTTTTTGGTGCACCTACAGTATGTCAGAAAAATAAAGAAAATTACTTTTATAGTAACAGTTCAGACACTATGTGAAAAACAACAAAATCAGGGACACTGTACACTGTCTAAAGCTTTTCATTTCCCAAGTATGTTACAAAGGTTAAAGGACCACTCTAGGCACCCAGACCACTTCAGCTTAATGAAGTGGTCTGGGTGCCAGGCCCAGCTAGGGTTAACCCATTTTTTTATAAACATAGCAGTTTCAGAGAAACTGCTATGTTTGTAAATGGGTTAATCCTTCCTCCAATTCCTTTAGTGGCTGTCTCATTGACAGCCGCTAGAGGCGCTTGCGTGATTCTCACTGTGAAAATCACAGTGAGAGCACGCAAGCGTCCATAGGAAAGCATTGTAAATGCTTTCCTATGAGACCGGCTGAATGCGCGTGCAGCTCCTGCCACGCATGCGCATTCAGCCGAATGGGAGGAATGGAGGAGGATCGGAGGAGGAGAGCTCCCCGCCCAGCGCTGGAAAAAGGTAAGTTTTAACCCCTTTCCTCTCCCCAGAGCCAGGCGGGAGGGGGACCCTGAGGGTGGGGGCACCCTCAGGGCACTATAGTGCCAGGAAAACTAGTATGTTTTCCTGGCACTATAGTGGTCATTTAAGCAAACAGTTAAAAAAATAAAAATTGTGCAAATTTGTATAATTTTTATTTTCAAGTTTGTCTGCAAATCAATCTGTACACACAATTGATGTGTTATGAAATGTTTATATATATATATATATATATATATATATATATATATGTGTGTGTGTGTAAATATATAACTAGCACAAATATAAACATATGAGCAATTTGTATATGTTTATAAATATTAACATAGGCTACCTATGCATACTTTGTTTCAAATATAAAAAATTGCTAACATTTTTCCAATCCAAAAGTTATCAGTAGTAAATGGGTTAAAAATGGACTGCCTGCCAGATCGTCACAAAAATGAGATGTTTGGGACAACCTTGAAATAATTGCTTCTTCAACTAAGCTGAACAATTTGTTTTATTAGACCTTCAAGAAACCTCACATACAGTACTGTCATTTTCATATTACCATGGGAAATGCATTATATATCAATGGTGTAACTTGGTACACTGTTTGTACATGTTTCAATGTAAGCTAACCTGCTTTGGTAGGTAAGTGGACTGGATAAGAAGATTAGACATAAAGGATTAATAGAGAAGGCCCAAAGAGGAGGCAAGATGGCAATCTAATAAATTAGGGACACTGGGACACTTGCAGACTTATTTACCATTGCAAAGGATTTTTTGAAATTCATTATGATTTCTCTTGAATTCAACTCTCTTTAGTGAATAACCCCATAAAAATAGGACATGGACATCCCAATTTTTTTTTTCTGCAGACACAAGTTATTTGTATAAATATAGTTACTGACTGACTTTAATTGTGACTATGATTCTATGACTTGAAAGTGATATAGTTCAGTATCTTTACACATTACTTGTAAACTGTTCAGATAACTTTTTTGATATTGCTACATTGCTGTGCTTCATAGATTTCTGTTCATCTAGATATACAAACAGTTGCGTTTTCAATTTCTCTAAATTATTTGGAAAATAAAAATTGTTCTAAGCACAAAAAGCTTCTGTTCACAGAAATGACTAGCAACTTCATTGTCGTCTGAAAAAAAAAGAAATGTTAATCACATATGAAAATAAGAGTGTGAACCTAAGCGGTCTAAAATATAAAATAAAATTAAAAAAAGAAAAAGAAAAAAAGATTCTTCACTAAACTATGAAATGTTGAATTTAATTTGGTATTTTCAAATTTTAGACAAAAAAAATAAAAATTTGAAAAGTACACCAACTAAGCTAGTTTTTTTCAGTTTGGCTATTTTGGCTCAACATTTACTAAACCCTGTTCCTAGCAACACTCAGTTTACAATATTATTTAATGTGGTGTATTTCGTGTGATTGCAGACTTCTAAAATGTAGCATCCTAGTGTGCAGGATTGTGAATAGTTTGGAGCCTGCTTTATAAAAAAAAAGACGTGTTGCAGGAGAAAGAAGCACTGTGCAAGGAATGTACTATATTTCTTGCTTACATTTAGAGTGAGCCCCCAAAAAAACAGATAAGAAAAAACATTTGTTCAATTAAATATTATCATAGTGAAATAATGCATGTTATGTTATTAATACTATGCTTAAACAAACACCTCTACATTGCACTGCTTGGTAAGCAGCATTACATTCCACATGTTAAAAAAAATAAAAAATAAATATAAGGAAAGGGTGAATTAATAATATTAGAAACAACATGTTAGCCCAAAATATATTGCTTTCCAAGTTGGGGTTTGTTCATTTTGCTTGGGATTGTGTTTTTTTTTTAAACAAGGAGACAATAGGAATTGTTGGAGTTTTTTTTTTAACAGTTTAGATTACTAGGCTCCAACTCCACTCACGAAAAAAAGCTGTTGTCTAGGTCTCATCCAGCAACGAGATGATCACTCACCGCAGCTACACTCTGCTTTCAGGGGGTTATCATTGGTGACCGTCTTCCAACCAATACAATGCATTTTAGAGAAAATCATTGTGTAAAGCAAGGTGTGTAAAGCAAGGTGTGTAAAGCAAGGTGTATGCCTGGCTACAACTGCATTGTGGTGGCAATGCTTCTAACAGATTTATGAGAAACCCTCTCATCCACCTTAAGCAAGCGGTGAAACAGACACTGAGGAGGTGTTGCCAAGAAAGGGTTTTAAAGGATTCTTTGAAAATCAGCACTTTTATAAAACAAGGCAAAATGGACAGCCAGTTAACCCCTAGAACACTTTAGCAAGCACAAGTATTTCCATAAGAATCAGTATAATAATTAATTAGATGTTATAAGTTGTGTCGAAACCTTTTAATACTTTCCAACGATGGACATGGACAACGTGTTAAGTTAGAAGGGAAGAAGAAAGACAAACGCAATGAAAATACACAAGTGATCATTTTTAACACATTAACGTTTTCATTGCAATAATGCTATGTTGGCATAAGGGTCCCTCAATTTCCTGAAAAAAATTATTGGTCAATAAAGTTACATTGTTTGTACAACACTGGCATTGAAGTGATTTTGTTTGAAATTTTATTTAACTATGTTTTCTAATATCTTTGCAATAGCTTTATTTAAAATGTATATTAACCCCTTAATAACAATTCCAAAATTGAATTATCAAATCAATGTGCGATTGCAGGACTGATAATCAGGTATTCAGGACATTCCATGCCAGCTCAATGTCTTCACATACTAGAAAGGGATGTCAGGACAATCTCTAGCGCTTTATGTTATCCTAGAAACATCAGCATCAAAAACTTACTATCTTTATAGCTTTCACAATAGAAAGAAAGCAAATAAATAAATGCATACATAAACTCTCTAACAGGTGAAGGGAATAACATTAATTATATTGTTACAATGACACCGGTCAAGATATATATTGGGCAGCAAGTGAACAGTCAGTTCTTGAATTGTGAAAAGTGAAAGTGAAAAGATCTGACTTACTTTGACAGGGGCTAGACAGTGATGGCTAGACAATTGGGTCCGAGCATTTCCAAAACGGCAAGTCTTATGGGGTGTTCCGTGGTTAGTACCTACAAAAAATGGGTGCAAGGAAGGACAATCGGTGAACCAGTGTCAAGGTCATGGGTGCTCAAGGCACTTTGATGCACATGGTCTGATCACACAGAAGAACTACTGTAGCCAAAATTGAATAAAAACAAAATGCTACCGATGATAGAAAGGTGTCAGAACACAGAGCTCAGTGCAGTTTTTTGGTGTGGGGCAGTGTAGTCACAGACCGGTCCGAGTGCCCATGATGTGCAATGCCAAAAGCCCCTACAATGGAAACACGAGCATCAGAACTGGATGGAAGGTTGGAAGAAAGTTGATATGGGTGCATCATTTACCTGGGGAAGAGATGGCAGCAGGTTGCACTATGGGAAGAAGACAGGCCAACAAAGGCAATAGAATGCTCTCGGTAATGTTCAGCTGAAAAACCTTGGAAAACCTGACATTCTTGTAGATGTTTCTTTGACATGTACCACCTACCTAGAATTTTTTGCATGCCTTTAAGACAATGGTGTTGCCTGATGGCAGAGTCCCCTTTATGCAGGATAATGCACCCTGCCACACTACAATGATTTGAGAAACATGGCAAAACGTTTTTCCTTGGCCTCCAAATTACCCTGATCTCATTCCAATTGAGTATCTGTGGGATGTGCTGGAACAACATATTCAATCCATGGAGACCCCATTTTGCAGCTTTAAGGACTTATTGGATCTGCTGTCTTAGTAGCAGATACCACAGGACACATTCAGAGAGGTCTTCTATACATACACATGTATTAATAATACATGTGTATTATATCAGTGTTAAATTCCATCTATATATTGTACTATCAGATCAGTTTACAAAAGTGAACTCATTTTCAAAGTCTTGCGACTACTTGTAAAATTTAAACTAGATATCAATGTTCCATGTTATCAGATGTATATGAACAAAAACTAGCAACAGGTTTTCCAATTATTTGTTTATATCACTGTTATGCACTCTGGCTTGTTACATACACTGACTTAGCCCAACAGGAGTATGATTCATGCACACACTACATGTACAGTACAAGTTTGACAAAATTGATCCTACCTTAGAAGATCAAGTGCTCACCAATATTACTGGCATCTAAGGGTGAGCTTCACAATCTAATTCAAAGCTCCTTGTCTCAAAGAGCTTTATATGAACAACTGCAGGAACAGATTCCTTCAATCATAACCATTTTAGCAAACTGACTTTTTGTTCCTTAGAGTGACTTTGTCATGTACCAACATTATTCACTGTGCAGCACAGGGTTTGAAAACATCATTTGTTTGTTGTGATAATATGCAGATCATGGTTATATGTATATATACAATCTGCAAATGTCTCTCTGGGTACAAATAGCTTTGATAAGGAAAATGATGGTAAAAAGAGATTCACTTAAAGTATGGCAAGAACTGATCACCACAACCACTGGTATCTGTAAACACACTTGACAGAGATGTGTCACTAGGAAGTGGAAAGATTGTGCACAAAGGAAGGAAATGATCTTCAGGTAAGTCTATATTAAAGATGACATATTCCCCTATCTAAAGGAGTACTTTTTATCTTATAATCATCTCATGACAATGATGTGTGTGATGTGGCCAGTACACAAGCTTATTGTTTGTAGAATGCTGTTCAATCCTGAGTACTGTGAATCTGGAGTAGACCTGCACAAAAGGTCCCCAGCTGTACAACTGCCATGATGCTTTGTCAGCTTTTGGAATGGGAAACGCATCATGGAATTTTCAGTTCTATGACAGTTGGAAGTCTACCATGTGATCTAGAGAAAAACATACTTGAAATACATAGCATTAAGCTGCTATAGTAACTTCACTATGGCAACAGAAAACAGACGTGGAGGCTCAGCAGGATCATCCAATCACTGCTCCTTTGGGTACAAAAATAACCAGTCCCACTAATATTTAAACTGGCTGTATTAATTTGCATTGCTTGCACTGTGTGCACCCCTGCTGAAGTGGTCGCTTAGCAAAACATAAGTGAAATAACACTAAAAAAATAAAATAATTAAACAACGAATAGTCACCTAGGCAACAGCCTTCTCAAAAAGCAATGGGGTTATGGTAAACACCTATAAGAATGTTGCTGCGACGGTTTGAATTTAGCAAAAGCTACTGCCTCCAGCAATGCAGTATAAACCAGCAATAGAAAATGAACTAGTCGGTCTTTAAATTGAGCACATTTTCAAAAATCGATGCAGTTTTTTAACCATCATAATACCATAACTACCAAGTAATTTGCAAAAAAAAAAAAAAAATTGGTTTGAAATAACAGGGCAATGCAGCAATAGAGTGGGTGTATAGAGTACTGTTCAGCAATACGTAAAGATTATGTATTCTTGCACAATTTTATTTTTTCATTTAATCATTTAACCTTCACAGATATATTGGAGGGACACTTCAGGCATCAACACAACCTACGTGCAATTTATAGTTTTTGCATGCTTTAATTTATACAACTGAAGGAAAAAGAAAGCAAATAGAAAAGAAAAATTAATGAGCACATATACCCAAGAATAATTATTTCCTTGGTTTTCTGACAATATAGTTGATGCTCCACTTTTCTTCCTAACTTAGGAACATCTCTTTATGCCGTGAAGGTTCGCAGTAGCAGAAATTTGACATATGATGATATCGCAGAATCCCATTACTTAAAACATACAGATGTGCTATTGTGGGACAAACTACAAAAAAAAAAAAGAGTTATCATCATAAATACCAGTAGAATATCAACATTTGCACTTAGAATAGCACATGTTTTGACTTGATTATAGAGATGTTGCGAACTGTCCGCCGAACTGTTCGCGAACTGTCCACCGGCGAACAATAGCGTGTTCGCGTTGGGCGAACATATCCGATTTCCGGTCCGCCCCCTATACGTCATCATTGATTAAACTTTGACCCGGAACCTCACAGCCAGCAGACACATTCCACCCAATCAGCAGCAGACCCTCCCTCCCAGGAAGTGTCTGCTGACTGTGAGGTTCCGGGTCAAAGTTTACTCAATGATGATGTATAGGGGGCGGACCGGAAATTGGATATGTTCGCCCAACGCGAACACGCTATTGTTCGCCGGCGGACAGTTCGCGAACAGTTCGGCGGACAGTTCGCGACATCTCTACTTGATTAACCCCTTAAGGTTGGTGGGGGTGCTATGCCGCCCTTGGGGACCCAGCCCTAAAAGCCGGGGGACGGCATAGCATGTCCCCGCCATCCTTTCTACTTACCCGGTCGCCAACGATCCCACACCGGCGATCATGGTGTGGGGACTCAACTGGCAGCCCAGGGAGTCTCCCTCCTTCCTTTCCGGCCCTCTTGGGCCACGTGATCATATGGACGGCATAGCCGTCAATAGCAGTGCCAGCAGGGGGAGTGCCTGTAATGACAGGTACTCCCCCTGCTGCCTGTAAAAAAAAAGGTTAAAACAGTTTAAAATTAAATTATATATACTTAGATCATATATATATTTATTATATTTGTGTTCGGGGCATTCTCATATGATATAGAATAAGATGGGTTGTAGAGATGTAGCTTTAGGAATAATCGGTTGAGGTGTGCCGAAACCGACGTATGCTGTAAGCCGGTAAAAAGTGGGCTTACATAGAGGAAATATGAACAATGGGAGTGGAGGGTGGGGCTATTCGTCTGACCAACAAAGGTAAGTAGGGAGAGGGGGGAGTCCCTTTTATAGGTCTATAGCCCCTCCCACAACTTCAGGCCATGCCTTCCAATTTGTGTTCGGGGCATTCTCATATGATATAGAATAAGATGGTTGTAGAGATGTAGCTTTAGGAATAATCGGTTGAGGTGTGCCGAAACCGACGTATGCTGTAAGCCGGTAAAAAGTGGGCAAAAAGAGAAATATTAATGCAAAACATTATACAGGATCATAGTGCATTTGTTAACCATCAGTTAGACATTTTAATGAAAGCGTCCTAATTCCTGAATCGGCTGTGGTATGTACATCGCATAAGCCTATGATTCCCAGCGGCCCCGTGTCTTAACGTGTGCGGGGATGTCTTGGCTATGGGCTGTGTAAGCTGCTCCTATCCAAAAGGAGTGCCCTGAGTAGTCGCTAGGGTTTAGTTCGAGCACGATGAATGAGTAGGTGGACATAGTGCATGAACTTACCTGTGGTAAGGACAGTATCGTACAGCGACAGTAATGGT